ACCAGCCCCACCGTCCAGGAACCGCAGCTCCTCTGCCTTGGCGGGGACCTGCACGTCCACGGAGGCGATGCAGTTGTCGGAAGGTTTTGCTCGCGAGGCGTCGACCAGCTGCACCCCGAGGTTTCCCCGCAGGTACCGCACCACTTGCACCATCTCTTCGGGTGTCAGATCGGCAAAGACCAGGCTCCGGCCGTCACCAGTGTCCTCCTGCTCCGGGGGCTGGTGCTGGCAGCTGCTGGGGGCCCTTCCCCTGGTCAGCAACACACAGACTAAAGCAAAGATCGTGGCTAAAGCCAGAACGAGGAGGATGAGCACGGTTTTCATGTTCATGGCTGCTGCTGGTCCTGAGAGCTCCCGCAGTCTGGCAGGGCAGGTTTCCAGCTGCAGAATCCTCCCAGCGACTTGTCGACAGAAGGGGCTGGGTTTGGTTGGGTTTGTTTTTTTCTCCCGTTTTCTCAACAGGGAAGAGCCTGGAGGAGCTCGCAGGGAGGGCGCAGGGGGATGTTCTCAGACGTGCCCAGGATTTGCTGGGAAACATAAAAGGCAACTTTGCTCTGCTTCCCCCAGCAGGTCATAATCTGAAGTAAACTTAATGCTTCTGCATCTGCCCTTCCCCTCTTGTCCCACACGCTGCACTGCAGACCTTGGAGAGGACAAATGCATCTCCCCGCAGCTCTGCCTCTTAACCTCGCAGCGGCAAACAGCCGGGCAGGCAGCAGAGGCCGCAAGGACAACGCTCCTCAGCGCAGAGCACTGCGAAGCGCAGCACCGTGGCCCCATCCTGCTGCAGCCCTGCCATCACCAGTGATGACTTGTGGAATAATTGCTGGAGGTGACTTGGAAATTAAACTTACATTAAAGGCACAGTGTTGTTCACACATTAAGGAAAGGTACAGAACAGGGTGCAGCAGGTACGTGGGGAACCCATTTCACGGAAGTTCCCCAGGCAGCCTTGGGTGTTGGCAACACGAGGGGAGCTCGAAGTGCTGACTCTGAGAGAGAACACGCAGAGGGTGGAGCAGAGCGAAATCACTGCGGCCAGACTGATTCACCGCCATGATGGGGAACTGGTGGTACCATGGAACTGATAAGCTGCATACTTGATACCCTGGGCCAACACTGTCAGTTTTTGACAAAATACTGTCCTTGGGTGAACTTTGCTCATTATAATCTCACTGTAATACCAAAACGCACCTCCATCCCAAAAGCTACCTGTCTTCAAGGTGTGACCACCCCTCACTGGGCCTGCGCCCTGAATTTCTTTAGCCTATATCTTCAAAAGCAAAGCGAGAGAATTTTACACCAATCGTAACAAAGGTATGTATGACTAGAGCCACTCAAGCTCCACCTGAAAGGTAAAAAAAAAAAAAAAGCATAAAAATGGCCTGTGAGAGAAGGATGTTAGGGAAGATGCCATCGATGACAGGTCAAGGACCATCTTAGACTTCTGGGATCAGTCGACAGGCTGAGCTGCTCTTCCCCCCCCGTGGGGACGCCTTTGGGTAAGACTCAAGCACTCGTTACACCGAGTGCTCCCCAGGAAAGTTAGAAGTCTCTATAGAGTTGCTTTCATGGCTTAGCATGCTGTACAGCCAGGCTGTGTTATTCTCACCTAAACTCTCACATGCTTTGCAGACAGCGAATTTATCGCCGGCCATCCAAAGAACTTGTATGCCTGTCGCTGCGCTAACAAACTGCACAATCATTAATCCAGCCGTGTGAGCTCTTGTGAACGTGACCACACTCCTACACGTGGCCGAGATAGTTTTGTTGAGCGCCACTAGACTGATGGCGCAGGGACTCCGTAATTAGCTTGATAGCTAATTGATAGCTCAATTATCAATCCAGCCACATGAGCTGTTAGTGCTGCTAGACTGATATCGGACGGGATCGGACTCCTCGAGCCGAATTGGGCTCACTCAGAATCTAAGTCCAGCCACCCCCAGCCCCTCTGATATTTGAGGACAAGCTGGAAAGCAAGGGGGTTTATTTTCTGCTGAAGTCCTTTGCCCTTTACCGTGACACGCCTCTACAGCCCACGCGGAGACACGGCAGCATCGCACGCTGATGCCAACAACCCCACGCGTGTGAAGGCACCAGTCCTGCAGCTGGGAGGGAGGGAGGGGACAGCCACTTGTCATCCCCCCAGAGGTGCCTCCTGGTCCTGGGCTACGTCCTGGCACAGACAGGGCTGCAAGGAGGGGGACGAGGGCTCCAGCGCCCACCCCGCACCCTGGCAAACAGGC